GGACCAGGTTAAAATGCACATTCTGCTTCGGTGAGTGGGAGCAAGGCCTGGGATTCTGCATTTCTCACAGGGCCTCCAGAGATGCGGTGTGGAACCCTGAGGCCCACACTTTGAGGACACTGCACTACCTCAGGGGGATGAGATGAAGAAGAAGCACAGGGGATTGGAACAAAGCACTCCAGCCCAGGAAGAAGACTCTAGAAGGTTGCTCATTATCATAACAATGAGCACCGCAGAAGTGTGACGTGTTTGTGTGTGTGTGTGTGTGTGTTTCTGTGACTCGGGCTCCTCAGTGATTGTACAAAGCTGCAAACTCTGTCCACTCTGCACGCTGCAGCTGTTCTGACCACTCCGTGGTGGAGGAGGATCATCAGGGGAACTCAGACGGAGGGGTGAGGGGCCCCAGAGTGGCAGCTGGTGTTGGGCTCCTGCACCCCAACATTTCTGCAAGCACAATGGTGTCACCTTGTCCTGCCCGCCTTCATTCTCTCATTCCAACCCCCGAGTGAGGCTTGTGTGTGCATCGTGTTCAGTCACAGCAACACAAACTCAAGTGGCCAAAATGGGGATTTCCTGGAAGGAGTCTGGAGGGACTCAGTGGAAGGCGGAGCTGAACAACCACAGGTCAGGAAGGTTAGGGGGTCCTGGGGGCAACTGAGTTCAGTCAGCTCCTTCCAACCCCACCTCTCATCTCTCAGGGTAGGGTGTTTTCTCCTTCTGCAGACCGGCTTCCTCCACATGGTGGGAAGCAAGGCTGCCAGATCCATCTGAGAGAAGACTCCCAAGTTAGGGCATGGATTGGCCACTGTCTGTTTCCTTCTCTGCAAGCATGCCTTGTTCTCTCTCTTTCTCCCCTCCCACACCACCTGATTCAGTACAGTGCCTTTTAATTCCATCTAGATGCTGAGGCATCCCTGAGGAGGAGCACTGGCTGACATCTGAGGGCCCCATGCTGGTTAGGGTTGTGGAACCTTCCATAAGAAAGAAACACACAGGGACGCCTGAGTGGCTCAGTGGTTTAGCGCCTGCCTTGGGCTCTAGCTCTAGCTCTAGGGCTTGATCCTAGAGTCCCGGGATCTAGTCCCACATCGGGCTCCTGGCATGGAGCCTGCTTCTCCCTCTGCCTGTGTCTCTGTCCCTCTCTCTCTGTGTGTCTCTCTTGAATAAATAAATAAAATCTTAAAAAAAAAAAGAAAGAAACACATGGTTTGGTCTGTAATATATATAGTGACCAGGGATGCTTATGAACTTTGGAAAGTTATCACTCACAGTTCTGGAGGCTGTGAGGTCCAAGATCTAGGCACCAGCATGGTCACCTTGGTCCCTTCCTGGTTCATAGTTGGCTTCTCACTGCATTGTCATGTGGTGGAAAGGGTTAGAGATCTCTCTGGAGTCTCTTCTAAGGGCGATAAGCTTGTTTATGAGGGCTCCATCCTTGTGATCTAATTCTATCCCAAAGGCACCATCTGTTAACAATATCCTAATATTGATATCCTGATATCATTTTGGGGGGTTACACATCGACATGTGTATGTATTCATGTTCCCCACATGAATTCTGGGGAACATAAATATCCAGGCTACAACTGTGTACATTATGATGGCACTTCCTATTAGGCACTTCTTTTTTCTTTACTTGAAAAAAAAGTTTTTTTAAAAGATTCTATTTATTGGGCAGCCCGGGTGGCTCAAGCGGTTTAGTGCTGCCTTTGGCCCAGGGCCTGATCCTGGAGACCCGGGATCGAGTCCCTCGTCAGGCTCCTTGCATGGCGCCTGCTTCTCCCTCTGCCTGTGTCTTGGCTTCTCTTTCTCTCTCTCTCCTCTCTGTGTATTCTCAGAAATAAACAAATAAAATCTTAAAAAAAAGATTCTATTTATTTATTTTAGAGAGAGAGAGAATGAGCAGGGGGAGGGGCAAGGGGAAAGGGAGAAGCAGACTCCCCACTCAGCAGAGAGTCCAACATGGGACTCAATCCCGGGACCCTGAGATCATGATGTGAGCCAAAGGCAGATGCCCAACCCACTTAGCCACCCAGGTGCCCCTACTCAGAAAATTTTTAAGTGTGATACAAAATACATAGCATAAAAATTACCATTTCAACCATTCTTTGGTTCCCATTGTTGTGCAACTATCGCTATTCATTTCCAGAACTCTTTTCATCTTGCAAAACTCAGTCTCCATACTCGTGAAACTAACTCCATCTTCCCCCTTGCTTCTAGCCCCTGGAAATCACCATTCTATTTTTAAATTTAATTTAATTTATTTATTTGAGAGGCAGAGTACGAGAGAGAGAACAAGCAGGGGGAGAGGCAGAGACAGAGGGAGAAGTAGACTCCCTGCTGAGTAGAGAGCCCAATGCAGAACTTGAGCCAAGGACCCTGGGATCACTACCAGAACCAAAGGCAGATGCTCAACCATGTGAGCCACCCACGTGCCCCATCACTCTTATTTTCTATCTCTGTGAACTTGACTACTCTAGGTACTTCATAGAAGTGGAATTATACAACATTTGTCTTATTTCACTTCGCATAACATCCTCAAGGCTCATCCATATTGTAGTGTGTGTCACAATTTCCTTCCTCTCTAAGGCTGAATAATATTTCACTGGATGTATAAACCACATTTGTTTTATTTGTCAGCAGCCACTTGTTTTCATGTTTTGTGACTAATGCTGCTATAAACACGGGTGTACAAATGAGATATTGGCTTCTTGATGATAGAACTATCTTGGGTGGGTATTGGGCACTGGGTGAAATGGCTGCTGAGGGACCTAGTTTTCTTGGGGCTCTACCATGCCCTAGGACCTAGTTATATTCTGTATCCAGTCAGCAGGAGGGAAGAGAGCACAGAGCCGTGCCTCAGAAATGGTCTGTGTCCCTCTGCCCCCATCCTAGTGATAAGAACCAATCATGAGGCTGCACTCAGATACCAAGACTGGGACCTGCAGTCCCTGGACAGGAAGAAGCATTCCAGGGGTAATCCTATACTTTGAAAGGGAAGGACAGGTTTCTGTGATTAATTAGCCATCTCTACTGCAACCTCATCATATGTTTTGGAAATATCCCATGATTGGTTTGGCTGTCTTCAGAGAGACTCAGAATTATCAATGGTTTCAATCAGAGAGAAGGTAGTTTTTCTCACATAATAGCTCAGCTGGCACAGAACCTGTTTTTCACAAAGTGTGAAAAGTGTCTGTCTTGCCCCTCCTAGCTTGGTGCTCCACCATCCTCAATAGGATTCTTTGGTCTGGTGATCCAAGATAGCTGCTCCAGATCTCACCAATTTGGCCAGCTGGGAGGGCTGAAAGGGGAGAGAGGAAGCTATATCTCTACCAGGCCATTGCAGACACACGCTAGCTCACTCGCTCACTGAATGATCGGAGTCAGAGGAGCATAGATGTGTCTTACACTCAGGGTTCATGATGCAAAGTTCATACCTATAATAATAATAATTAGTTTCAAAAGTTTACCTTTGTGAAAAAAAAATTTACCTTTGTGATATTTCTGAAGGGGAGACACAGGCATATCTTAGTACTTACATGTACACTTTATATTTACATGTACACCTTTACTTTTTTCTGTTGTTGTTAAATATTTTATTTATTCATGAGTGACACAGAGAGGCAGAGACACAGGCAGAGAAAGAAGCAGGCTCCCTATGGGGAGCCTGAGGCGAGACTCGATCCCAGGGCCCTGAAGGCAGATGCTCAACCACTGAGCCACCCAGGTGCCCGTTTTGTTTTTTTTTTCCTGAAAGTATATTACTAGATCAACAATGCACATCTCATGATGGATGCAGACTGAGATGTGAGTGTATACAGCAGTCAGAGCAGAAGTAACAACACTAATAAGTCGTACTAATTACTAGCATTTTTATTGAGACCTTCCTAGAAGTCAGGTCCTGAATGAATCAAATTTGCACAGATTATCTTACTAAATTGAAGGTTGAGAGGTGTCATTCAACAAGTGAATTGTACATCCCATCATCCTGACTCCCAAGCTCGGTGACTATTTTTTTTTAACGCATCGTTTATATTTATTATTGGTGACCGTTTCAATGAGGACGATAATAAAACGGTGATGAATAATCAGGGTAAGTTATCTGCCACTTACCTGAGAGCCAGTCACCTGCACAGGGGCAATGACTGGAGGGACTTAACCTTCAGGTCACTATGGTGTAAATAACAATTATATCTACTTTCTATGAGAACACTGAAATAAAAGCTAACATTCCGTGAGTGCTTCCCAGGTGCCTGCCTCACAGGAGGGAAGCAGGTGAATCCCCAGCTGCTAGGATCAGTAGTCTGGGATGGGGGGGGGGCAGTGGCCAAATACAAGAATCGGGAGGGAGCCACCGCTTGGAGTCCAGGCTCTGCGTTCTGGGCGTGTGACTTTCGGTAAAGGCTGAGCTTTCTGTACCTTGTTATCTGCAAACCGGGAATGGGTTATTAATGGGACCTCGAGCATGCAAAGCCCTCGCAAGTGCACAAAATGCTACTACCTGCTGAAAAAGGAGAGCACTGAGGCCGAGAGTCAGTGCCCGAGGTGCACTCGCTCTGTTCGGGGCCCGGGGACAGGGAGCCTTCCCAGCTCCAGGGCTGGCTTTGACCCTCTCCGACCTAGAGGGAAGGGACCCAGGGCAGGAGGGGGCTGGCCGTTCGGCAGGGCAGGTGGCAGGTGCAGCAGGCTAGGGCACTTGTGGGGCTTGCCTCGGGGGCGGCAGGATCCCCGTCCTCAAAGTTCACCCCGGGACCCGGCAGGGCTCCTCGGGGCTGTGCCCCGGAGTCGCCTCTGAGCGCGGAAGCCGCACCCACCACGGGCCCCGGCACCGAAGGGGTTATGGTGATAGAGACGACCGGAGGACCTGGGGTGGCACGAGCGGCCCTTGCCGCCACTCTCCCCCACACCTTTCCGCCTCAGGCTGGCGCGGAGCGTAGACCGCGCAGGCGCGAGAGCCGGGCGCCGGGCGCGGAGGGGGAACTTCTCGAGACACCCGGAAGTCTCCGCCTAACGGGCCGGGCCCGCGCCTCCTGTCCTGGAAGGGGGCGGGGCCCGAAGCCCCTCGGCGCGCGGCGCCATAGAGCGGGCACGGAGGACCTATGTCCTAGAGGCGTCCGGAAGTAGCTCCCAGGGGCGCCCGCTCCGCACCATAGAGCTGGGGGGGGCGGTGGCTAGGGGGTCGCCGGGCTTGCCGTCCTAGAGCGGCGAGGACGGGGTGGAGGCCGGCCGGGGGGTTGTGAGAAGGGGAGGGGGAGCAGCGCGGGCGGAAGCGGCCAGGAAGGTCACTTCCGGCCTGGGCGCCCGTCCCCCTGACCCCAGGGTCTGAGTCGCCGCTGCCGCCGCTGCCACCATCCGCGAGGGAGGAAAGAGGAGGAGTGCGGCGCGGCGGCCCCGGGGCCGAGGAGGTGAGGGGAGGGCGCGGAGGCGGGGGGGCGTGAACACGGGGCCGGGGTGGGTGCGCGCCTCGGGGAGCCCGGCTGCGGGCGGGGGGCGGGCGGGGAGGCGGGCGGGCGAGCGCGACTGGGCGGGTGAGTGCGCGTGCGCGTGCTGGGGGGGCGTGAGTGGGCGCGCGGCCGGTGACGCGGGCGGGCGAGGGCGCGCCAGGCGGAGTCGCGGGGAGCGCGTGTGCGCGGCGCCGCGGCGCGGCCGCGCCAGGGAGGGAGCGCGCGTGCGCAGCGCTGGGGCTCGGGCCAGGGGCTCGGGGGTGGGGCCGCCGCAGTCTTCTGGCAGGTCGTGGCCGGAAGTGGTGGCGATTCCCGGGGGAAGTTGAGGCCCCAGTGGGGGAAAGGGACAGGCGCGCAGGGCTGGCTTGGCCGGAAACGGCCGCCTGGGGGGCGCGTCTGGTTCCCTGGCCTGCTCCCCCTAATCTAGGCGCTCCTTCCCCTTTCCAGAGGAGCCCGGGTTCCGCTGCCGTCCCGGGCGGGCTGCGTGCGGCCTTTCATCCGGCCCCCGAGGACTGGCTTTGGGTCGGCGGGAGGCTCATTCATTCGCCGCGGCGCGGGATGCGGGCAGGAAGCGCGTGCGCCGGGCGGGGAGGGGGGAAGGGAGGAGTGACTCGGCCAAGGTCGGACACCGCTTGGCCCGAGGCCGCGGGGGGGGGGGGGGGGACGGCGACGGCGACAGCGGCCGGGCCCCAAGGCCACCTGAGGCCGCTCCCATTCCTGGCCGCCGGGGGTACCCCCCAGTTCGTGTAGATGGGGTCAGGCAGGCTCCGGATGGTGGCATCGCAGGCTCTCCCGGTGCCCCGCCCGTGAGCAGGGTCCCGGAGCAGGCGCGCAGAGATGCGGACCTGGACACTAGAGCCCTTGTGCAGAGGTCAGGAAAGTGTGGGAGCACAAGAAAGACATCCCTACACAGCCCAGTCCAGAGGGCTTCAGACGGGGGTCCAGTTGGGAAGGAGCTGGCCTCCTCCCTGGGGAAGCACAGTTGCTGTTGATCCGGGCTTATCTTCTCTCTGAGAGTGTAAGCCTCTTTGGCTGAGTACAGCTGGCATTCACCTATCTGCCTTTGCTGCACCCTACTCTGGTCTTCCTGCTTCTGCCTCACCCCCCAGAGCGTTCAGATCAGATTCCTATTTCGATGTTTCTTGTCTTAGTTTTTTTCCCCTTGGAGGCCTTCCAGATCTAACTCCCACCCCAACCCTAGCTGAGCTAAGGAGCCACAGAACTCTAAGGGCTATTCTCCATGCTGCCCCATGAGCAGCACTGTGGTGTGTTAGTGTGGAGTGCCTGGGGTCAGACAGAATCGAATTCAGATCCAAGCTCCATACCTGGTACTTTGTGATCTTACAGCACAAATGAGCATGATATCTCTGTTTTTGCCTGGGTAAAATGGAACAATAATGATAGTTTTGACTTGGTAGGAAAGCTCTTAATGCTTTGCTTTTAAAGCCAGACCATGTCTCAGAGAGGTGAGCAAAGGTATATATGGGAAGGGCTCTGTAGCCAAGCATTCCTAGGCCAGGCCTTGCCTCCTGTCTCTTCCAGCATGGTGACCTTGGACTTGTCACTTCCCCTTTTCCTCCTCAGTCTCCTAAGGTGGAGAGCACAGCCAGCATTCCCTACCATGTGCTGGGCCCACAGGTGCAGTTCCCTGCCATGGGGTGTGAGAGGAGGGTCCCTTGACACATGTTTCTTGAGGCTCCTCTGGGCCAGACTCAGAGCTGGGCAACACTGGGTGGCAGTTCTTATCCTGCAGCAGCTTGGAGGGCTGTTGGGGAGATACACACAGAAGCACCAGGCAGAGGGCTGGGGGGATTTCCAGAACAGCCTCCGGGGAGTATAGGAGCCCGGAAGCATGTGCCTGGGTGTGTGTGTGTGTGTGTGTGTGTGTGTGTGTGTGTGTGTCCTGAGTCTTAAAGGACAGGGAAGGATTGGCTAAGAGGACCCTGGGCCTAGGTGGGGGAGGATGAGGGTGACTCCCAGTTCTGGCCCGTGGCCTCCAGCCTCCAGCAATGGTCTGGCTGGCCCAAGGTCCTTAGGAGTCACTGCTGGGCACATAGTTCTCAGGGCACCTGTGGTCAGACATGTCTCAGCCCCCAGACCTTGCTCAGTTGTTCTCTGTGCTGTCCAAAGCCTTGCATGACTCCGAGAATCAGCTGTGGCTCTGGCCTCTTGGTGGTGACAGACTAGATTTTTTTTTAATTTTTTTTAAATTTTTATTTATTTATGATAGTCACAGAGAGAGAGAGGCAGAGACACAGGCAGAGGGAGAAGCAGGCTCCATGCACCGGGAGCCCGATGTGGGATTCGATCCCGGGTCTCCAGGATCGCGCCCTGGGCCAAAGGCAGGCGCCAAACCGCTGCGCCACCCAGGGATCCCCAGACTAGATTTTTTTTAAAGACTTCTTGGGCAGCCCCAGTGGCACAGTGGTTTAGCGCTGCCTGCAGCCCGGGGTGTGATCCTGGAGACCCAGGATCGAGTCCCATGTCGGGCTCCCTGCGTGGAGCCTGCTTCTCCCTCTGCCTGTGTCTCTGCCTCTCTCTGTGTGTCTCTCATGAATAAATAAATAAAAAAATTTAAAAAAAAAGATTTTTTTTTTTTTATTCATTCATGAGAGACACAGAGAGAGCAGAGACACAGGCAGAGGGAAAAGCAGGCTTCCTGCGGGGAGCGTGATGTGGGACTCGATCTTGACTCCAGGATCATGCCCTGGGCCAAAGGCAGGCACCCTACTGCTGAGCCACCTAGGCATTCTGACAGACTATAAATTTGATGGCATTTGCTTCCTGAGCACTTGGTCCTGTGCCTGGTCTTCACTGTCCTGAGCTCTCAGAGGTCCTGGGATGGGGGTGGTTACCCCCAGTTCAGGGGCATGGCATTGAGCCCCAGAACCCATAGCTGTACAGAGGACATGGGCCTGCATGTGATTTCAGAGCTTGGCCCTTTGCCATAATGCCACAGTCTCTGTTGACTTATTTCTTTTGGTCAAGGCCAGGGGTGGGGAGGAGATGGGAATTATCGTGAAGGCCTCTTTGGTGTCTGTCATTGGGTTGGGGACTTGGAGGGCCCCCCCCTGCCTTGGGGTGCATTGTCACGAAGGGTCATTGGTTTGGGGTGCTCTAAGACCCAGCCTTTCATTTCAGGTGTGACTCTTGCTAATAGCGTCAGTAGCTTTGTTGTAGTGCAGAGAGCTCTGGCCTCATAATCACAGAGCAGCCAGCCAAGCAGGGCCTGGGTGGGTGGATCAGGGCCCTGTGTTGCTCCACCCAGCCCCTGGGGCTGCGGGACTGGTCTGTAATGATGGCAGTTAGGGTGCCAGTGCCAGCATCCTAAGAGAGGAGGAAAGAAACGACCTTGGAGACTGGCCGACCTGGCTGGAGGCTCTGCTTATCTACTGGATGGCTTTGTGATGTTGGGTCAGCCACCGAACTTGTCAGAGCCCCAGCTTTGACAGTCCTCATCAGGGGTCACCAGGCCTGTTCTGGGTGCCTGGCTTCTGCTGGACACGTGCGCTGGCCCTTTGATCGTGACGCCAGACCCGTGAGGGTGAAGAGACCAAGGCCAGAGCACCTTGTCCAAGGTCACATGGCTGCTGGATGATGGGGCTGAGTTGGGCTCTGGCAGCCTGCCCGGAGAGCTTGTCCTCTCTTCTCTGGCGGTGGTTGTGGGGGTGTGGATTATGAAGCCATGGCACCCTATGCATGGGGCTGAGATGTAGCCTGTGCTTGATGAATGGGATCTGTTACTAATTTGAAAAGAGGACAGTTGAGCTGAGGGAAGGGAGATGTGTCAGGAAGGCTTCCTAGGGGAAGTGCTACTTTCACTGGGCCCTGGCAGCAAGTCTACAGGGAGAATGGGCAAGGTGGAAGGATGGGAACACACCTACTATTGAATGAGGGTCTGGCCCGTTGATCTGATTGAGGGGTGACAGACATAAGATGGCCTGTAGGAGTTCTTTCATCTGTTTTTTTTTTTTTTTTTTGGCCTGGAGGATATTTTTGCTTGTTGAAGCAATTTTCAGTTACTTGCCAAGACTTAAGAATTGGGAGTTTTCATAGACATCTCTGAAGATCTGGACACTGGGTGTTTCTGGATGGTGGCAGGTGGTCTTCCCGCTGTCCACCATGCCTGTAGCCATAACAGTATAGGGAGGTTCCAGGAATCTAGAAACTGGCTTCTCTTGGAGATGGCAGGGAGTGGGGTCTAGGGTCTCTGGAGTTTGCCACCTCCTGGGCTCTGGAGGAGGGCAGTGCCCCTGAGGCTAGGGTGAGGGTGGCTGAGGCATGCCTGGCCAGGTGGGAGGCAGACAGAAGAGTGAAAGTCAGGAAGTAGGCTTACTGTGAGGCAGCCTAGTCAAGGAAAAGAGGAAGAAAAGTGGGGTTGGGGGCACAGGGGAGCAGGAACATAAGGGACTGCTTTGCTCAGCTTTTTCAGTGCACTGGAAAATCTGAGTGAGGCATAGGTTGCATTCTGGGGAGGTATGACCCACCCACCTGACTCCCAGTAAGATGGAAAAGATCTGAACACACTATCATTATGGAAGACATGGGATAAGTTGACAAAGGGCTCCCCTTCCCCACTGAGAAAGGGCTTAAGCTTCCGATGGCGTTGCAGACTGGCCCTCAGTGTCGAAAGCACAGGTGAGAGCTGGCAGGACCAGCTGTGGGTGCCGGACATGGTCTGGGTGGGGAGCAGAGCAGGGAACGGATGGGTGTTCAGGCCTGGAGCAAGGGATGAAGCCATCCACAGAAAGGGAAGTGGGTATAAGCTCCTGAGGAGGGGGCAGGTGTCTGCCTGCAACCCTGGTGGGCCAAAGAAGGGTTTGAGGTCTAAGTGGCCCCTGTCCAGTCAAGCCTGCAGGCACCAGGCTGCTTCCCTTTAGTGAGCCATGGGTGCTGGGTGGCAATATGTGCTGGGGAGGAAGGAAGCTGGGCCATTGAGGTGATAGGTGAGTGGACCCTTG